TTGCCCGTCATTTGATGTGTTGACTGCTGGCTCCCGGAGTCAGCATGGACCTGGTGGCCGTGAATGTGGATCCAGGTGGGTCCCAGTAAAAGGAAACCACACCCAGGAGGTGGCTACAATCAGATGGGAGACAGCTGTGGACGGGTGCTGCTGGTGGCAGTGTCAAATGCATAGCCACATTTTTCAACACAGAAACTGAAGTTCCTGCAAACCACAACGCCAGCCCACGTCCATCACGTCCATCCAGGCTCACAGTGACCCTACAGGACAGCCTTCCTGAGGCTGGGAATCTCTCTGGAAGCAGACCGCTTCATCTTCCCCCTCGGGGCAGCTGGCTGGTTCGCAGCCCAGTGCTCAGTCCGTTGCCCGTCTGCACTCTCACGTTTACATGCCCCAAACTCACTGCCATCAAGGCAGGCCTGACTTTCAGAGACCCGTGGGACTGCTTCTACAGCCCGTCTTTAAGGGAGCGGACAGCCTCGTCTTTCTCCCTCGGAGCAGCTGTGGGGGCTGAACCCCTCACCAGCCCACATTCTCACTCCGGGATTTCTGCTCGTGGTCTACTTCAGAGAGATGAAGCCGAATAAAGACCGATGCAGAAATGTGTGTGGCAGGAAACCCAAAGGGCCGTCACCTGGGGCTGGATGAGCAAGTGCGATCCGCTCAGAGGACATGACTCAGCCGCAGGCTGAGGTCTGTTGTAGGGTGGACCTCCTGTGACCCAGGGGGAGAGGCCAGTGGCACGGCTGGTTCCCAGGAGCTGTCTCCCATGGTGGATCTACAGAAACAAGCAGCCCAGCTGTGGTCCCTCAGGAGCGGAGACAGAGTGGACTGAGCAGAGGTGTGGGGGAGGAAATCATTGCGAGCCGGTGGCGCAGACGGTTGCCCAACTCCGAAAGCTGACTGAGCCCTGGCCTCCGCGCTTCCAGCAGGTGGGTTTCGTGTCCCTAAAAGACACCTCCACGTTGTGGCTTTTAGGTTCCCACTCCCGGCGACCCACGTACAGCAGAGTGAAAGGCCACGGTCCCGCGCCACATTCACGGTGCGCGTGTTTGAGGCCACGGTGGCGTCCACAGGGTCAGTCCCTCTCCGCACGGGCCTTCTTCCTCTTTGGGCTCAACATCGCTGTTTTAAAAAGAGATTTCCGTTGCACTCTCTGAGTAATGTTCAGACTGGTCTCACATCTTTTCAGGGGCATTTTATGTTTATTACAGACATAGCCACCTGAGAGAGACCTGGCGGGGACCCTGGCCTCCCCTCCCCACGGCCATCATCACCCCACTACACGCCCGCAGCTTCTCCCAGGGACCCTGCTGCTGCAGGCCCGCAGCCATCAAAGCAGCCCCTAGCCCCTCTTCCCCACACTGCCCTGCCGCTCCCCCCACCCTCACCTCAGCTCCCGGGCTCTTTGGAGTCCAGCAGTACCTTGGTGAAGCGCCGGAGGCTCATGGCAAAGCCAAAGGTGAGCCTGCCCACGTCTGGGACCCAGTGGGGTAGCTCTCAGCTGCTCTGCAAGGGGCTAGACCTTGGGCTCCTAGAGACCCTAACTCCAGGCCCCCTGAGTTTTCTCTTCCACCACTCACAACCACTCATACACACACGTATACACATGTACATGGGTATACACTTATATTCAAACACATACACATACACACACACTTGCAAATGGGTGCACCTTGAACTCCTTCAGAAAGAACCCCATGGGTGCTACTCAGTAGGCATCCCCCTGAGTCTGTCTGTGGACACTCCCCCCGCTTCACCCCCAGCGGAAAGCACTCTGGGATGGAGGACAGCCAAACGGGCCAAGACTGGCTGCTGGCTCACCCACTGCCTTCTGAACATCACAGCCCTGTGCGGCGGGGGGGCAGGAGGATGAGGGGGGGCTGGCACGGTGGGAGGGGGCAGGGGAATGGGGGGCTG